TCTTTGATCTTGTTCCAATAAAATTGTGTGAATATGTCTTAAATCTAAATTCTAGGATTACATTTGTAAATTAAATTAATTTTCAAGATATATCTTCCGATTATAGTGTCGGGATGAAAGCCTCTAATTATGTTACAAAAATGAATAATTGATATGATTGATCTAATCCAATTGAGGGAATTCCCACGCTTCACTGCTTCGAATTATTGATTTTAATTTTACATTTCAATATTGAATTTTATTACACATTTGAGAGAACAATTCAGCCTTTTTTATCCTTTAAATATTCTTCCATTTCCCTGTGGATACGACACCCCAAAGCTGTGCTACAACTACCACGTTATTTTTTGGGCGTAATCATATCTTATTTCATCAACAACTCTACTGGGTGAGTTTGGATATCCCCTACTTATTCCATATAAATATTAGGCGTTTCTATACAATTTTATAAAGTGAGAAAATAGATTACTAGAATTATAGGATCCATTGTAATTTTCTTTTTTTTCCATTATTCTTGAGTCAATAAAATCTCTAATTCCTCTGCCATATTCTTATCTTCTTTATTCTTTTGTTTGATCAAATACTTCATTATTATTTGCCATATAATTTCAACATCTCAATCCGGTGATTTATTTCACAACAATTGGTATCAAAGCAATTATGGTATCTTGGTTGTTCCACAACAATTGGTATCAGAACGACAGGTTCAACAGTTCCGCAAAAGCGTAAAGTTTGATTTGTTCGAGGTTTTTATTCATAATGGATTTCATGAAATATGACATTTCGTTTTTGGATCGAAGCACTAGATTTTCACTATGGCAGATTAAGATACGTGCAATACTTGTACAACTGGATTTGGATGATGCGTTGCTGGGAATAGACAAGATGCTAGCAACTTTGACCATGAAGGAGAAATTACGGAAGGATAAGAAGACAGTTTCTCACATTCATCTTCATTTATCAAATACTATTCTTTATGATGTTTTGAAGGAGAATTCAATAGCTTTTTTATGGTTGAGGTTGGAGAAATTGTGCATGACTAAAAGTCTGACAAGTAAATTGAACTTCAAACAACATTTATACTCTCATCGAATGTCAGAATGAGGATCATTGGAAGATCACTGGTTGTATTTAAGGAGATCGTCGTTGATTTGGAAACTTTGGAAGTAGAGTATGATGAAAAAGATTTGACCTTGATCCTATAGTGTCCGTTGCCTGTTTCGTTTTCTTCTTTTAGAGACGCGATTTTGTATAGTCGTGATACTCTCACCTAGGAAGTGTATGATGCTTTGTATTCAAAAGAGAAGATGAAGCATCTGGTTTCTGAGGCCAAGGATGGAAAAGACCTGGTTGCTCATGGTAGTTCTGGAAGGGGTAGATCGAAATCTAAGTTCAGTAATCAAATTTGTAACTACTGCAAGAAGAAGGTGCACTTAAAAAAGGATTGCTACAAATTGCAGAATAAATAAATGATAGCAACAAGTAATTATTCAGATACTTCAGGCGAAGAAAACCTCGTGGAGAACGTTGTAAGTGAAGGAGAACGCTTAGCTATTTCTCACATTGAGTCTAAACATGAAGAAGATTGGATTCTGGATTCAGCATGTGTGTTTCATATGTGTCCTAATAAGGACTTGTTTGCTACATATGAAACTGTTTCCAAAAGTGTCGTGGTTATGGGAAACAACGTGTCTTGTCGGTTTGCTGGAATTAACACAGTTAGATTGAAGCTTTTGGATGGTACAAGTAGAACACTTGACCGGTTCGACATGTTCCAGATTTGAAGAAAAATCTCATCTCCTTGTCTATCCTTGATTCAAAAGGTTATGAATTCTTCGGTGGATGTGGAGCTTTGAAGGTTTGTAAGGGTACCCAAGTTGTATTGGAGGGACATAAAAATGTCTCAATTATACATCTTGCAGGGTCATGCAGAATTTAGAACAGTCTATCAGTACTAGTTCAGTATCATGGTGGACATTCAATTTGGTACAATACCTTTAGGAGCTCATAAATAATCAAATTTGAATAATACAGTTTAGTGGAGTTCAGGAAATATGGATAATGCTGCTTTGCCACCATCACCTAGGGTGCCATTGTATTCAGTTGTTAGAGACGGACTCGGTGGAAAATGTATGTGGATACTGATTTTGTTGAGCATGTTTTAAATGGAGTAGAAGGTGTACAATCTAGTAAGGAGCTTTCAATAAAAGCATTTGATATTAATTCTACTTTGGGGGTGTGTTACAGCCCATTTTGATAAATTATAAAATTATTATATTTTTTGGAATCTGAGATAATTTTGCAGAGTAGTGCTTGAATTCATTGGAAGAGGTGGATTATTTTGTATTTGGTTGGAGAAATTAATTGTTTTTCGTTATTGTTGAAGAAGTTAGTTCATTCCTTGTTGGAATTCGTGTCAAGGTGGAGATTGTTAGAATTTGAGTGTGATCCGAATTCCTTGCTATAGTAATTGAAGAATTCCAATTGAAGTGCACGTCATGAAAATTCAAATTTGGAATATTATTGGAGTCCTATGTCATGTTGCAGTTATATTTTGGAAGCCTATTGGGAGTTGGAATTTGTTTTGGACTCAATTTTATGGTATCTGTAGGGAAAATAATGTGCGAATTGATCGGGCCCAAGCTCACATCACCAAGCCCAAGTAAGGTTCCAACCCAAAACCAATTG